AGATTCGCCCTTGTTAGAGATTTTGATCTGTCGTGTTTGAAGTGCATTAGGGTTCCAAGGAGGAATTACATTCTAATGGATCCTCATAAAAAGGTTCGTTTTTCTTCTTCTTAACCCTTGTGGGTATTCTCGTATGGATCTGTCGTTTCATTTTATCTGTTTGATTTCGCTAGATTCGTAATTGAATTCTAGAATTGATTTTGAGCCTCATAGGTCTTGTTGCTTTTTTTTTTTTTTGTCAATTTCTCCAACAACATTGGAAGGAACTGTAGCAAATCATCGTTTAAATTACTGGATTTAAGCTATTGGATTGAAATGGAAGGACAATTTTTGTGTGTTCTTATCCATTTTTTTTTCTGGTGTTTGTTTGCTTAGAAAAATGGTGGAAAATGCAAAAGCCACTTCTGATGATTTGGATCTTTGTCAATATATGATCAAAATTCTTAGATGTTTTGTGAAAAATTGCTACATTGTGGATTTGTTTGCTTCATGATTATGCTTTCATTCGCCTAGGCTATGATTTGGGTTTTGATCATGAATCTATGGCACCTTAGTTATATGTTGAGATGATGTATGTGATCTCTCTGGAAATCGGAGAATTAGCTGAAATGCTACATTGTTGATTTGGATTCTTCTTGACTATGTTTCCTTTGCATCGGCTCTGAATTGGTTTTTTATATTCTCTGGCCTGAACCTGAATCTATGGTACCTTATATATGTTGAGAAGATACATGTGATCCTTAGAATTTTGAGAACTAGGCCATCTTCGTCTTTCCAGTCTGAGGTCTGAATAGGCATTTTATGGTGTCATGTTTGTACAAACACAGGTTGCACTGGAGACGGAGTTCTTTACAGAATACGGTGAAGCCAGCCGATACCAAATCCAGGAAGTTATAGGGAAAGGAAGTTATGGGGTTGTGGCATCTGCAATCGACACACATACGGGAGAAAAGGTGGCCATAAAGAAAATCAATGATGTGTTTGAGCATGTCTCTGATGCAACGCGGATTCTAAGAGAGATCAAGCTCCTCAGGTTGCTGCGTCATCCTGATATAGTGGAGATAAAGCATGTGATGCTTCCTCCTTCACGTAGAGAGTTCAGAGACATTTATGTTGTTTTCGAGTTGATGGAATCAGATCTTCACCAAGTTATCAAGGCGAATGATGATCTTACACCTGAACATTACCAATTTTTCTTGTACCAGCTTCTCCGTGGTCTGAAATTTATACACACAGGCAAGTTCTTGGGTTGTGTTATCTTAGTCCCTTGGTCCTGTTACTGATTTTCTACTCAACCTGAAGAAAACATTTTGCTTTGTTGCAGCCAATGTGTTTCACCGTGATTTAAAGCCCAAAAACATTCTAGCCAACTCTGATTGCAAGCTGAAGATTTGCGACTTTGGGCTTGCCCGTGTGTCGTTTAATGATGCACCTTCGGCTATATTCTGGACTGTATGTTAGAGACTAAAATCATAAGTTTTTAATTTTTTTTTCGTTAATTAACTTAAGTGTTGTGTACAAATGGTATTTGCTTCTTTGCAGGACTATGTCGCTACAAGGTGGTACCGTGCACCAGAACTTTGTGGCTCTTTCTTCTCCAAAGTAAATCCAATTCGCTTGTTTCTTTGTACACTCTGTTTCCGCTTATTAAGACACTAAAATCTGAGGATGAATTGTGTTTTTCTTTGCTGTAGTATACTCCTGCCATTGATATATGGAGCATAGGATGTATATTTGCAGAAATGCTAACCGGGAAGCCACTGTTTCCTGGGAAGAACGTGGTGCACCAGTTGGATATTATGACTGATTTGCTTGGTACTCCTCCACCCGAAGCGATTTCAAGGGTTAGTTGGTATTAGTCAGTTTAAAGCTCGTTTTTTTTCTTTTTCTTTTGGTACAATTTGACTAAGCATGGAGTTTCTTTTATGTCTTATTGGTAATGAGTTAAAAGTTTTATAAGCTACAACTATTTGTTTACTTGTGATTTCCAGCCATAGTTTTATGGCAAGTAGTTTAGGCCTAGCTCAGGTTAGATCCATAGTAATTGGTAGGAAGCTTTAACTCGTAGGCCCATGTAAAGATGAAAAGTGTTGTAACATTACTAGACCAGGGTTGGATCAGTTTTTCATTTCCTCTAATGATGATCAATGTTTTGTTTTGTTGCAGATTCGTAATGAAAAGGCGAGGAGATATCTCGGCAATATGAGGAGAAAACCGCCAGTTCCATTCACTCACAAATTTCCTCATGTAGACCCGTTGGCCCTTCGCTTGCTGCACCGTCTTCTTGCATTTGATCCCAAAGACCGTCCCACAGCCGAAGAGGTAAAGCTCCTGTACAATTTTTTTCTAGCGTTTTTGCACATCAAAGTTTCAGACCAGTTTCAATCACTCTCAGACAAGTAAACATCTACATATGTGTGTGTGTGTGTACAGGCACTGGCAGATCCTTACTTCTATGGTCTGGCAAACGTGAATCGGGAACCATCTACACAACCGATACCAAAACTTGAGTTTGAGTTTGAAAGAAGGAAGATAATGAAAGAAGACGTGAGAGAATTGATTTATAGAGAGGTACACTGTTCTCATACTGTTTTTGCTTTGTTTGGATTAGTTAAGCTCTGAACAATGGCAAAATGTATTGTTTTTTCCCACTCTTATCCATCGGTTAGTAGTAATTCTTACAGAACTTGATTATGGAACAACGCAGATATTAGAGTATCATCCTCAGATGCTGCAAGAATATCTTCGAGGGGGAGAACAAACTAGCTTCATGTACCCAAGGTATATTATAACATTTTCAATCTGTATTCAGAATGTACGACGAATTATGACAAGATAAAGATTTTTATAATTCAAATGAAAATGCAGTGGTGTTGATCGGTTTAAGAGACAATTTGCACATCTAGAGGAACATTATGGTAAGGGTGAGAGAAGCTCTCCTCTTCAACAACGACACGCTTCTTTGCCTAGGTACACAGTCTCTTTTGTTGTTGTTTTTTTTGTAATATTATTTGAAACTTGTCAGATTCAGCGGCATCATCACATTTGCCATGTTGTTTTTGGTACCTTTCTGTTTCAGAGAGAGAGTGCCTGCTCCTAAGGAAGAGAATGGATCACAAAATCACGATATCCAGAACAGACCTGCAGCTTCGTTATCCACGACACTCGAAAGCCCACCAAATTCTCAGCACGAGGGCTCAGATTACATGAATGGAATAAGCCAGACGGGTTACAGTGCCCGAAGCTTGCTGAAAAGTGCCAGCATCAGTGCATCTAAATGCATTGGCATGAAACAAAGAAACAAGTCCGAGGTAAAGATCAAGAACCATTTAAAGATATATAACAAGTTTGTATACACTTGTTGTTCCTCACATTCTTGATTCACGTTGCAGCTCGGGGAATCGAACAATGATACGGTTGATGGTTTGTCTCAAAAGGTTGCAGCTCTCCACACTTGATACGGATGTTGGGGAGTGAAACGTGTTGCTAACAATAGACGGCTGATTATATTACACATCTCTCACTG